ACAGGAAAAAAAATTCATTATTTGAAGGTCAAACGTAATTCTTAGATGTTGATTAACAAAGTATTTCCAAGAAGAAAAAAAAAAAAAGAGGTTCAGGGATAGCAAAAAGCTTAGACAGACTATTAAAAGACATCGCTTAATGGGATCATGGTTAATGTTATCATTTGGATATTGTTATTCAGTTGCCGAAATCCTGCAGTCCATATATGAAAACATGGAAAAAGCATCGGTTAATGGAATCAATAATTAAGTTAATAGAATTAAAGTATGATCGAAACTAAGGTCCTATAGTCGCCAAATGAGAGATAAAAGTTGCGAAATAGGGTAAAAACAGGTTATAAAAATTGGCAAAAATCAGATTTTAGTCAAAAATTCAAAACTAGGCGAAAAAGCAACCTTAGTTAGATTTTGAATAATTCTATCGATTTTGAGGATGATCAGACACGGAACTTCTTCAGGAGTAAATAATTTATGCAGATTCCCCTCCCCACGATCCTTCAAAAATTAAGAAAAGCAAAGAAAATCCGCTGGAAACTTCTACGCGAATCTTGAATTGCTTTTTTTTTGCCAGTGGACAAACGAGATCATATTAAGCGGCACCTTATAAGTCAAATCCTGTTACAACAGGCTTGACTTTAACGCTCGCTGATCAGATGCGACGACAAGAAAGGATCATTTCTGTTATTAATCTTTATTTTGAAATAATGAAGAAGCTATATATATATGTTCTTGCCGTTATGGAAACACAGTACCCAGGGCCACTAGATTTCAATTAAGTTATAAAATTCAGTTAATTTATAAAACAATGGACTTGTTTTTAATGTCAAATTGTTTATTTTTCGCTATAAAGTCTATCATTAGTTCATTGGTAGAATAACAAGATAAGGTGTGAAATTATTAATCTATTACACACTTTAACCGATTTGGCTAGTAATGCCATGCAATATCTAGTTATTCTGTGAAATAACTGAACTAATACGCTTTAATATACTCGTGTGCAAAATGACGAGAATTCGCAAATTATGTTTATTTTTGCGGTAAATTAAAGTATTGAACCAAAGGTATTATCTATGCCACCGAAAAATTATGCACATAATCAGAGTCGAATACGTAAGCATCTAGGAGCTGTGATTGTGGAGGGGATATAAGAGTATGAGAGGCTTTCGGCGATTTGTGCGCTTGTCCTCTTTCGTGACATTTGCCGTGTTTCTCGCAAGAGTTTGGCAAATTTTATAAGGTATCGAGTAAAATGAATAGCCAACGAATGTATGCATGGCAGAATGACACGGAGAATTGCCGGTTGATTGGAAGCAAGCTAATCTAAGTACAGGTGGCTACAGAGCTCAATGTAACGCCCAGTTTCGTCTGCGACTTGTGGAAATAGTTTCAGGATACTAGATCCATACCGAGAAGACCACAACAAGATCGACCAAGATCCACAAACGACGAATGAGGCTCGTTATTTAGCACTTTCAGTGCGGCGACATAGGACTGCTACAGCTTCACAGCTCTTACATGAGCTGTATGCTGCCGTTGAAACCAGATTTCACCGTCTAACATTGTCCGAAGGTTTTTTAAGGCATAGGGCTGTATACCAAAAGACCTGCTGTTTGCGTGCCGCTCACTCTAGCACACGAAAGAGCGCGTTTAGCTATGTGCAGGCAATATGCGCCTTGGGCCAGACTTCAGTGGACCACCTGTTTTAAAAATGAGTTGAGATTCAACCTGAACACAGATTTTCGGTGTACCTGTATCTGGAGAGAGTTGGAATAAGACAGTGTCTCTTCCTCATCGGAGATACGGATCATTGCAGTGACGTTAGAACAATTTGGGAAAGCATTATTTTCGACGGCCGCACACCTCTAGTTGTGTTTTACAAATATTCACCGACAGTTATGAGGTACAGAGTGGATATCTCAGAGCCCTATGTTCGATTCTGCAAAGGCGCATTTGGTCCTGGCTTCCTGTTAAATAGACGGCAACTTTCGTCTACATGGTTCTCAGATGATCGTCCATTACTTGGAAAGTGAGGATATTTGCCGCATGGATTGGCCGACCAGATAACTATAGCCTTAAACCTACACAGCATGTTTGGGATGCCTTTGGAGGGCAAACTGATCTCGCAATCCCCCTCCGAAAACCAATTCTCTGTTGGAAATTGCCTTGCTGGAGTGAGATAGACTGCGACAGGAATTCCTCAACTGTCTCCTGTCCAGTATGTCATCGCGCTGCGCTGTCTATCTGGCTGTTAAAGTACATGCTGTTAAGTATGAAAGGGGCCATATTAGACTCATTTTCAGTTCGATATTCATATCGCTGCACAATATGGATATTGGATATCCCTGCACTATGAGCTTTACTGATAATTATGCCAACGTAAAATGACTTTTGAATTGTACCTCTCTTTCTCTGTTATAAATGAAAATTCATACCATATTTCATGCATACCATATTTCATTAAAATCTGTCCATTCATTAAGTTTTCGGAAATTTGACATGGTATGCAAATTGTCTTAAATTTGCACACAAGTGTGCATACACGTAAGACTCTATGCCAGTGGTTCTCAATCATTTTTAACAATGCACCCCTTTCAGCATTGCCACCTCCTTTTCAAAAATCGAAAAATGCATATACGTTAATTAAAATTTAGTTTATTTTTAAATGTGTTTTTTACGTTAAACACGAAAACGTACAGAAATGGTTATGAATATCAAAACTTGAAAAAAGTAGTTTTTTATATCAATCAACTAAAACTAAATACTTAAGAGGTAAATTAAAGGCTGACCGCATTCCCCCCTGAAACTGTGAAATTTCCCCTTGGTTGAGATCCCTTCCCTATACAATTGTCATAAAATCAATATTCTTGTAAATTTTTACAACATTTAATTCCTATAAGTGACACTATATGTTATATTATTACGCATATATATTAGAAGTTCCTCTGCAAAACTACAAAAACTACTGCATGAAATAAAAACAAAAAAATTATCTTATAGTTTTAAAAGAACAGAAAAAAGATTTTAAATAATTCTCTGCGAAATTTATCTACGATTTTATACCTCGAATCATAAAATCGTGAGGCATAAGCGTCCTTCACAACTTTATAAAATTAATGGCTTATACATTTCACAATGCAACTGGATTGTTTGTTACTTAGTGTATATTAAGTTTGTACAGCGAAATACTTAAAGTCTTGTTCCTGTGAAAAAACTGTAAATTATTTTTTATAGTTCATTAATTAATATTTCATAAGTTTTAAAGTTTACTTAAAATTTTTAAAAATTTGTTCATATTTTTTTCTGCGTAATAACGTTATCAATCAAATTATTCAATTCAAAAATCATTCCTCAACAATGAATAATCACTCTTTTACTTCCAACAATTCCGTTCTGTCCAATATCTGAAAAAATTCAGCAATGTCTCCAAAATATTAGAAATTCCGTTCACAATTTCATATAAATTTGATTTAAAAGATTTTTTCTCTCTCTATCCGATGGTGGAAACATTACATTTTGACAGTTTTAGTTTATTCGTTAAACGAAGATACGTGCAAAAAAAAATAATAATAATAAATAAATAAAAATAAAAAAATAAATAAATAAATAAATAAATTGCACAATTTAATTTTTCAAAAAATCTCATTCGAATTTTCGAAAAATCGCTTCACCACGTTGCACCATCATCTAAAAACAGTGTGTGTGCAAAATCTGAAATATTCGGTTGTTTATCAGGAATTAATTTTAAAAAAAAAAGCGATGATGAAATTTTGATCATGGGTAAGTTATGTAAAAATAACAGTAAAATGCCTTACTGAATTATTCAAAAGCTACTGAGAACTTTCAGTGTTCAGGAAATGAGGAGCCAAACGTTCGTTATATCGAGGATTTTGTTATATACAAGATTCAATCTAACAGGGTTTAATTTTATTAAAGGGATAAAGTCGAATTAAGTTTCCCAAAATCAATTTTTCAATTTTGATTGTAAAAAATGAAATGAGTATTGTTGATACGAAAAATATGCGACACGTATAGGTTTAGCAAATTAACTTACTAAACGTATTTATACTAGTACTTAGTGCTAGTAAATTAAGATAAAAGATGTAAATTAAAACAGGCACGCCGCTCTGTTAAAGAGACATGAATTTTCTTGAATTAAAAAAAATATTCAAAACGTTTTAGCTTTTATAAATTTGCAACTATAGAAAATTTGTAAATTCGTCATGATCACATGAAGAACTAAATTTTTATGTCTATCTAAAAATGTTATCGTACCTCCAAAATCTATCATTTCGTGAACCTTTCAAGATTTCTTTCCAAAACTAATTGAGTAAAAAAATAAACAAACTTTAAACCTAATAAAAATAATTATAAGGTTGTAGAGTCATTAGGTTAATTGGAAGCTGAAAAGATGCAACCACCTTCGCCGGGAATTGAACCACGGACCTCTGGAATACCGGCCCAGCGTGCTACCGTTACACCACGAAGGCACGCTAGGGAAGTGAGAGAAACACCTTATAAGGCGTGGTTTCTTCAAATAAAACATTTTGACTACGCAATGAGTTTCTCGGGGAAAACAGTCAGTTTGATAATAATGTGTGATTTCTTAAATTAAATATTTTGATTACGCAATGAATTTTCTAGGAAAACAGCAAGGTTAAAAATAATGTATGGTTTCTTTAAATAAAACATTTTGACTATGAGATGAGTTTTTCTAGAAAAACAGTTACGTTAATAATAAAACGCGGTATTTTTAAATAAAATATTTAAATTATGCAACGAATTTTAGCAGGAAAATAGTCGGGTTAATAATAATAATGTATGGTGTCTTATAAAACAGAACATTTTGAGATTATGCAAAAAGCTTTTCAGAATAACAGTTAGGTTAATAGTAACAGAAATTTTCACAATTTTCTTAGTCGAAAATGTTTTAATATAAATATCAGATATCGAACTCTTTGCAGTTCACACTTGTGAAAACAGTATAAAAGAATTTCACTTACGGGTATACATTCGCACCTCATGCAGTACAGCATTCCGAAAGGAGGGCCGAGGTCTGGTCTCCACCTCTCTTCCAGCTCGTAGCTGTGATTTCCAAACTGGCAATCTAATTAAAAGAGAGAAAGAAAGAAAGAGTTCATCAATCATTCGAATTGACGCGCTTCGGTCTGTGCATTTCTTAAGTAAAATGGACGGCCAAAATCAAAATTTATATTACTCAGTCGGTTTCGAATAAGGTTACAGTATGAATCACCTAAAAGGTATCCCCGAAAAAAATTCAAATGGTATTTTAATTGAATAATACACAGAAACATACACCGAAAATTAACATACCAGAGAAAACAGGAGAGCGTCTTGAAATGCCGCACATGTGCGGAATCTTCAATGTGAGCGAAGTAAAACTATTTTTACGACGAATGCAGCAATCTCTCAATTTAAAAAATAATTATCGCAGCAGTAAATCAGACTGATGGGAAAATATTACGGAAGGGTAAAAGAAGAAAATATTATTCTCACATTTAAACGTTCCTTGGAAAGATATGGACTGGCATCGTTTTTGCCAATGCATGTTTTAGAACATCGCTTCAACATTCGAACATTATTTAGAAAGACACGTCTTCACATACTATTTCAACATTCGAACGTTATTTTGAAAGACAAGTCTTCGAACACTGTTTTGAAAGACACATCTTACAAAATTATTTAAAATGAGATGCCCTCAAATAGTATTTTAGCATTCCAACATTATTTAGAAAGATATGTCTTCGAACATTACAAAGACACGTCTTCAAATATTATTCGACTGTAATCTGGAAAGAAATGTCTTTCAACATTATTTAGAAAGACATGTTTTAAAATCATTATTCCAGCATTCGAACATTATGGGGTGAGACATATCTTTGAACATTATGTGGAAAGCACTAGTAATAATAATAATTCAATATGAGAAGTTAATATGGAAAACCATGCCTTCGAACATTATGTAGAAATACATGCACTGGCAATAATGATGATAGTGCAGCCCTTTGAACGTTATTTGGATACGCTAAATTATTGAACACATAGTGGCACAACACATAGTGGCTTCTGCCTAAGAGAAGGAATACTTTCGTGAAAAGACGTTCTAAGAGAACTGATTCCTAGTCACATCATACTTGGGAAAAGCCACGAAAGTAAACACTGCAGCCAGCCTTTTCACCTGAGATCGAACTCCAGTCATATTTTCAGTATTCCAGCAACCTCACTACCGGGCCATTGGTGGGGCTGAGCATTATTTGGGAAAAGCGGTTTTCGAATATTATTTCAACAACATAATTTTATTTGGAAAGGCATGTCTTCGAACATTATGTGAAAAGACATGTACTGGCAATACTAATGCTTGTGCATGTTCGAACATTACTTCGAAAGTATTCGGATATTATTTCTTTGAACATTATTAGGAAAGACATATTTTCGAATATTATTACAAAATTCGAACATTATCATTATGCGTAAAGACATGCATTGACAAAGATACCAGTCCATTTCTTAGAAAATTTTTTCAACGTTTAATTATTACTATGAAAATATTCGGATGTTACTTCTTCGAAAAAAAAACTTCGAACATTATTTGGAAAGACATGTCTTCAAATATTATTCCAGAATTCGAACATTTGTATTACGTAAAAGGAAGAAAAATCTAGCAATTAGTGACCGATCCCTCAAGATACAATTCTAGTGTTGCCGTGTTGATTTTTTTATTTATTTGCCAGCTGATATTTCGTTTGTTATTGACTATGACGTCATAAAGCATGTCCTTCAAAAACGCTTCATTAATAACTTCGCTTTTTATTTCACTAGTCTGAGCGTTTCCTCATCAAATCGGAACAAGCCCTCTCGCAAGCCTCTTTCTGACTTTCTACAAATATCGAAGAATATACTTTGAAGAGAGAGGAGTTAGGCAAAGACACGATTTACAAGAATGATTTTCATGAATTCTAAACACTACAAGAACAGAGTTTTAATTTCTAAGATTTCGTTTAAACTATCAGAGAGTTTAGGCACTTCAACATGATATAAAATATAGATAGCAATTCCATCCCATCGACTAGAGTACTGGCTATGATCTGTGCTTAGGAAGCCTCGGCAACGAAGGCATAGAAATACAAACAGGTTCTTACTGCCAGAATGAACAGCCTACGCTGTCCTGGATGGTAGTGGCTGCAGCCATCCGAGTAGGTAGCCTGACGACTAAGAACACGGAGTTATAGTCACTGTTACCTCCTCCCGTCGTGGTCATTTTTTATATCTAACTTTTTTTAATTTATACTGGGTGAAGAAATGCCGTCTTTCTCATGGCGGTAAAGAATTATTGATGGGAAATGTTTCCATCTAAATTTCCAGACACTTATAACGTAAAAAACACCGCTTATTGGCATGGTAATAAGGAACCAGTGGAGAAAGATTTTTAATGTATCTTAATTTCCTAAAACTTAATGTTGGAGAATAACGCCCTCCTTCGGCAATGGTGCAATTTTTTTTTTTTTTTTTTTTTTTTTTTTTTTTTTTTAATGCATCTAAATTTATTAAAACTTCTTTTGGGAAAGGACGCCGAGTGTCTGGATGGTGGTAAGGAACTTACGATACGAATTTTTACAACTAAATTTTCTAATACTTTATAATGAGGGGGGAGAAAACCGCTTGTAGGCATGGAAATAAGGAGGCAAATGTGCAATTTCTTTTAAGTACCTAAATTTCCTAAAACTTATATTTGAAAAAAAAAATAAACAATTGACGTCTGTTGGCATGGTAACCAAAGATGAAAGTAAGGAACCAAAGATGAAAATATTCAGACATGTATTTAAATTTCCTAAAATTTATGATGGAAAAAATGCCCCTATTGCCATGGTGGTAAGGAGCTAATGATGAGAATTTTTTACATTATTTTTTAAAAAAACGGACAGAGAGAGAGAACGAGAGAAAAAACGCCGCCTTATGCTGACAAAATGCCTCTTGTTGGCATGCTGGTAAGAAAGGCGGCTACCGGCCGTACGCCCTTTCCGAGAAGGCATGATTGGCATGCGTATTTGGGGTTTGCTTCCTTCGTGGGCATAGTGTCCATCTTTTCTCTGTCACACATTTTTGGCAAAGTTCTCCGGTGATGAGAAGGATCAACCCTTTTTTTTTTTTTTTTTTTTTTTTTTTTTTTTTTTTTGAGAACGTCCATTTTTCTTATCGACTCGGATAAAACAAAACCTTCAAATCCCTTTAAGTTCGCTACAGAGCGGTCCAGTTGTATTAATTTTTACTAAAACGGCGCCAAACAGAATTCACACCACTGTATTTGAATTTTTAAATAGGCTTACCAAATGTCTCGCGTTGACCGGGAGTGTCCCGGTTTGATGATGTGGTCCCGGCCAGTTTGTAATTTGTCCCGATTATTTGGTAAAATTTTAAAAGTGTCGAATATACAACTAAAACAGATCAGCCTCGGGTAAAACGGTGATTTGGATATTAAAATATCTTTATCGTTGCCAATCTACATATTTTGTATCTAGTTTTAAGTGCTTTTAATGTCATCGAGACGTTTTCAATTAAAATGATTTCTTACACTGAGGGAAAACAGTTTTGGTAAGATATATAAACAGTAAGATATATTCAGTTGAGTTATAAAAACTTTATTTTAAGTCAATATTGTATTCTGTTAACTTTTTATTTAGATTTTTCACTCATACATACTTATCCTAGCAAGCTTTATTCTCTGTTGTCAGTATTTTATCAAAATTGCCCCGGTTTGAGCAAAGTATATTATAGTCAGCCTGACCTCGAACTCTAACTGAATTAACTTTACTGTTTTCTTTTCACTCTTCAAACAACAATCGTTCATTCCTATCTAGGCGCACGCGCTAAAGTTGAAATGTCTTATCACTCCAGTGGGAAAAAATACGGTTTCAAATTTGGATTGCTTTATTCAGACAGAGGAGAAGATGAATTACTTGACATTTTTTTAAAACACGGAATACAGTTGCACAATTGCAGCAATCTTTGACTCGCATTTACGATTTTCAATATTATTTCTGTATGACATACAAATTGTTATTTCTATATGGTAAGATAACATGAAGCATGCAGACTTAATATTCATAATGTAACTTTTATACGATATTTTACATGATATTTATACGACTTATCCACTTTATTACAATACTAATAAACTTAATATTAATTTAGACGACCATAGCGACTCGCTAAACGTGTAAATATCAGATATAACGAACTTTATGGGAATCCTCCACTTAAAGTATTTTTGAGGGAGTATTTTTGACAATTTTTTCCAACTTTCCTACCAAGTTTTAACCGAAAAATTACTAATATTAAAATTAAGCCATGCTATCAGGACAGGGGAAAATACACCTTTCACCTGCTCCCACTTCTCTATGTATTCTAAACAAAGTTTATGAGAAGTAGCTGTAATACCCAATTCTTCAAAAACCAGGACAAAAAATAAGCACTTCTTAGAGTACTATCACACATCCTCCTGCTTCAGACGAACGACTGTTTCAAACAACTTTTCACCAAACGATTTTTTCCTCTCTTCCACAAAAGAGTGTAGACGTTTTCACACACTCACCATCGAACTAAGGAACTCCAATGGGAGCTCTTTGCTGATAGTCTCTGTGTTTGTAACGCAAAACCAGTTCACCCTTTACTTGGTAACCACAAAAGTGATCGGTGGTGATTCGCGGCTGTATATCGCGTGAAAAACCAGAAACGTTGTATGAAACAGTTGTTCTTTCGAAATGCTTTGAATGAACGAGGCCCATATCACACGTGCATTTGTTTCATGCGAACAACTGTTTCGAACAATATTTCTGCCTGGTTTACTATTGAAAGAAAGACAAGCGATTTTTTCCTTCCTTTCAAAAAAAAATTGCAGGTTGTTCGTTTTCAACCAATTAGGTCGTTTGTAATGGAGAACCAGTTTTCCCTTTACAAAGTGATCTCAAAGTGATCTGTGGTGATTGGCTGTTGCGACAAAGCAGAAAAATTGTTCCAAACGGATGTGTGATAGGAGACCGTATTTTGCCACTGAGAGCCAAAGAACTCGAATGGATCGCCGCTGAGCTT